TCGCCCGGAATACCTAGGTGGTCATTTCACTCTCAGCTTTTTCTCTTAGTGAAGACTCCCACGATGCACTTCCTAGAAACTTACTCCTCTGGCGTTCAAAGCTTCGGGCCCCCGCTTTGAGGTTTGTTTTGTTACAATCAACCCGCACCAACCCATCCCATTCGCCGCCATGCTACTACCAAAAGCCTCCATCATCTTATCTCTTCCGTTCGCTGTACGCGCACTGTCTTTCTCCTCCTTATTCGGCATTCGAGGGTCGAAACAGCAAACATGCGACCGTTCATGCTACGCCGACTATCGCTCGCTCATGGGCGACGCTGCTGAAGACCTCGTACTTCCAAGCTCGTTATCGCATCGAAACACAGCCGACGATCTGTGCAGCGATCTGGAATGCTCCGAGTGCGAGTTTTGCGACGTCAGCCTCTCCGGTCGCTTTCCTATCCTGTCTCTGCGAAATGTAGAGCTCAACCGGATAGCGAATGCGGAAGCGAGAAAACGTGCGAACAACGCGGAGGTGAAGACTTGTACGGATTGTCAGTTATACCTGAATGACTGCGAGAGACCTCACGAACGCACAATGAGATACAATCCCCCGTGGCATGAACTCGCCCCGCCCTACCCACTCCACACAACAGACCACCAGCGAACTCTACAATGCGAGCTCCAGCTCTGCACAGCCGGTCCCGTACACTGCGGTGTAAACGGGGCGTGCGAGCGCCAGATCTGCAAAGACCTCGCTGATCGTGCTGGCCTTCTCGAACCGGCGCATACGGTGGAGTGCGAAGACTGCGTGAAGTCCTGGGTCCGATGCATACACGATAGGTGTATTCCACCTACACTTGACGCGTTGGCAGACAGTTTACGCTCACCCAATTGCTTCAAGAACCATACTCAATGTCAGCAACAAACATGGCAAGAGATCAACGCCTCGCTTGCGCCGGATCGGGACTGCGTGGAGTCTTGCTGGGGGGGTACCCCAACGTATTGCCATACTGGTTCTTGTGCCTTGCCCTTTCGCTCCTCGGGAACGCGAAACTCGACTTTTCGCTCGCTCACTCCCGCCCCACACAGACTCGAAACTTTATCTCGGGGTTGCAGTGCGTTTCGCGATACATGCCTGGAGACTTGTGACCTGGGTAATGCTCACTTGAAGTGCGAAGCAAAGTGCGAAAGACTGCATAGTAGCAATGAATGGTTCAAAGAATTATGTGAGCAGACGTGCGGGAAGAGGACTTGCTGGACCGAATGCAGAGACATGACATGCTGCGTAGGACCAGAGCAGTGTAGAGAGGGTGGAGAGGCATACAGGTGCAACAACAAACTGAGATGCGAGAAGTATAAGAAGATGGTAGAGAAGGGCAATATGATGCTACGCAGTTAGTAGGTGCTATTCCTCAACTTTGTGGCCCTTATCGCATTCGTGTCAATGACGATGGTGAACTGCACTGGATCATAATCGATGTATTAAACAGGATCGTCGGCCTGCGACCTCGATGTTTTGGCAGAACTCCACCCAACGCCTTGCATGTAGCTCATGATATGGTAAATGTAATAGTAGTTGTAGCAAGCTGGCGGCCCTGATCATGACCGCTGCATTGCCTTTGGCCGAGCGTCGGCCTGCATGAACGCCGTCATGCACCGTGATGTCATGCTCGCCTCTTATTTCGGGCCTGAGCCATATCCAGCGCTATTCTTCGGTTCTTCAGCAAGCAAATCGGCGCTGTATACACGCTTGTAGTCCTGCTCGCTCCAGCCCTGCTGCTGGGCAAGACCACTGAGACTCAGGCCACGCGAACGAGTCTTCTTGACTGCATCGCCTTGAGCGGCGCCAACGGGAGTAGAGTTGTAGTTGAGGGGCACTACACCTTGACCGGGAGGCGGGAATGGAGTGGAGCCTGTCGGCGACGCGACTGTTTGGCCCGCAGTGACGTTGTCAGGTACTTCAGAGTCGGCGGAGAAGTCGGACGAGACGGACGCTTGCTGCGCTCGCTTCAGTGCGTTCTCGTAGTTCGCTGAGCTTGCTCGAGCCATGCCAGGGCGGCGGTAGCCAGTGTAAGCGCGGACAGCTTCAGTTGGGCCATTGTCTGTGGTCTCGTTTCCTCCACCAGCACCCATCAGGGGCAAAAGATTTGGGTCGGGAGCAGCCGCATCGGTTTGCGAAGCGCTGTTGGAGGTGAAGGCGGCTTCGGCTTCGGAGCGTGTGTTGGGTGTGAGGCCCGAGGGAGTGAAGGCGCCCGATGAGAGGAAGGAGCCCTCGGTGGGCGGCATGAGAGATGGTCGTGAGCTCATGGTGAAGACAGTGTGTGCTGTCGTATCTTAGTAAGCTGCAAGACATCCTGGAACCTTGAAAGCGTGAACGTACGTGAAGTCTGTGAACTACTATTAGGGTCTAGGCGGTGCCGTGTCGAATAGTGTGATTGGAGGGTACTGGTCCCTGTCTATCAGTCAGCTGGGTAGTCCCTAGAGGCCGTAGAAGGACCGCACCGAATGTTCAGGGTCTTTGGTATGCAGGTGCAGCAAAAAGAATCGTAATTGTTCGTTCACGTCGGTCCTAAGCGACTGCCATGTATTTGAGCAATAGCGGCTGATGCTATGCCATCATATCTTGGCGGGTGACGTCTTTTCAGGGTCCAGACTTGCGGGGCCCTCTAGCCGCATGTGGCAGCTTCTCGTGCAGCTCAATCAACATTGAGGGCGATGGCGACGAGCCGCAAGGGTTTGCGCTGATCGCTGACATGCTTGCTGTGGAGAAGGGCCCTTTCAATAGGTGGGAATGGCGCGGGCGAGATCTCTAAGCGGAGAGAAGACGTGCAACATGCATGTCACCGCGCGTTAGGGCTGGTGATACTCGGAACACGGGACACGGGTGAGTATTGGATCTGTGAATTCCTCGACTAAAGATCCAACAGCCATCTGACCACTCACTCCCATTAATTCGAATCGAAGCATCGAAACACTAACAAAACCAAACATCGACCAAATAGAGACATGGTGCCTACGTCGCCGATCTACAAAATCTTGCCACAAATAGCCCCTTGCTTCCTGCCCAAAACCGCCCAACACATCTGGCGTAATGAAGCCTCTAGACAATCTGCGATGCCGTTAGACGAGGATCCAACTGGAAGGTGAAGGGGAAACAGATGTCATACCTCAATACATTCGCCGCGAATCATCCGACAGTATCGAATTAGAGGCCAGAGTGGCAAACACCAATGGCGGCGGTAGTAGCACCACCAACCTTGGCAGTGCATTCAACATAGGCAGCATAGACTGCGGCGAGAGCAAAGCCAGCGGTGCCTTCGACAGCGGCCAAAGCAGCGCCAGTGCATCCAGCGATACCGGAAGCGCCTGCGAGCCCAGCAGCAACGACGCAAGAGCCACATGCCCAGTTCTGGAAGCAGCCGCTTCGGCCTGACTTAATACGCGCATCGTGAAGGGCAAGCGCCTGACGCTCCATGCGACGGACCGAGTCGTTGCGAGCGGCAAGCTTGTTGCTCTTGACTTCGGATACAGCGTCAGCACGGGCGGCTTCCGGGGCGACCAAGGCCGAGACCTCGAGCGAGAGTTCGGTGAAGACGTATTCTTTGACGTGGTCCGGCCAGGCCTGGACGGCTTCAATGGGTTGCTGAAGGAGGGGGCACCAGTCTTCCACGGTCATCGTGACATAGTCGACGGTGTTGAGGAGGTCGACCATGGCCTTGGTCGGAACATGGACCTTCTCGGCAATGACCTCGATGGGGATTGCTCCCAAAGAAACGTCGATGTCGATGTTGGCCGTCGCATTGACGCTGGCGGCTGCAGCAACGCTGGCAGTAGCAAGGAGAGATAGCTTGAGGAATGAGGCAGTCATGGTGAGGTGGGGTAGCTGATGAAGGCTGTGGTTTGAGAATGAGATGATTGAAGGGTCTGGAGTAAAGAGAGGATAGTGAAGTGTTGAGCTGGTGTTCGAAAAGAGCATTGTTGTCGGTACTTATAGCTTTGGTAGTTCCACCCAAAACACAACGACACGATACCTGATTACTGAGAAGCAGTATGTAGTGTCGGATACGGATGCAACAATTCACAACATGCCGTTCACCTTCTCACTGACATCTGCTCTATTCGCGCGGAAGCAGAATGTCACGCGACAATAGCAGTATACCAAGCGCACCTTGACTATCGAAGGACCGAAGGAGCCATCAGCCCTAAGGACTTGGGTTTCTCGCATTCTGGTTGATACCGGTTCTATTCATGCAGAAGCGGAATGCCCAGCACTCAAACGAAATTACCTGAAGTACGGTCACTGCCAAATGCAGTAACTATGTGAGTTCCAAGGACTTGGGTCGCTAGCTGAAGAGATAGCTTAGCCCTCTTCACCGCTGAGTATCAGTCATCAGGATTGACTCGCTGTTCCCACTCAGTCCAAGGTAAGGCACAAATCCAGACTTATGACCTGCATTAGGACTGTCTCCACCATGTCAGCCCTACGATTCAGGGTCTTGCCGAATACCTAGAACGGTCCGAATGACCAGTTCTGTTCAACTGTCTAGACCGGCCCGAGCACGGTCTTGGTAGTGCTCCGATGTATACTAATCCAACGGCTGCCAAGCATGTTACTTCGAACTTCACATCTTGCGTCTATCACGGTATGTCCAAGAGTTGATCTGCTATACTTGGTCTGCATCAAGCGATTACTTGTCGGTGAGGTGTAGGGCCTTTGCAACACATCTCAGCCTACTTGGCTTCATTTGCTCGAATCAGTGACGCTCGTATCCAAGTCTCAGCAATGAGATACCGCCGATATTTGCTCATGGCTATGATTTTTGGGTTTCAAAGACAGTGCCGGAAGATGGGATAGATGTGAAAGGGGGATGGGTTGAAGGTGCTGTGAAAGCTATAAGAACTGGAGGAGTTCCGCAGAAAACAGGTATCTCTCATCATCTACAACCATCACTTTCCAACACTCAATCATCACATCTTCCCACTTCAAGTCTTCCATCGACTCCTCTCAACTCAACAACATGTTCTCCAAGACCATCATCCTCGCCCTCTTCGCCTCTTCGGCCGCCTTCGCCGCCTCCATCCAGCAGAGGCAGCTCAACCCCAGTGTCCAGCTCTGCTCCAACAAGGACTTCAACGACTGCGACAATGTGAACTTTCACTACGGCATCTGCGGCAAGTCAATTTTCAGCATGCACATCTCTTGAACATGGTAACTAACAGAAAGCAGAGGCTTCGGGAAGGCTGAACGACAAGGTCAGCTCGCTCAAGGCAAACGGCCACAACTGCATCTTCTACAAGTAAGTGATCACAGAACAGCAGTTATGGGTTGCATATGCTGATTACTTCATAGCGACACTGGTTGCCGCAATGGAAACGGCCAGATTGCTACCACTGGTGATGTTGCCAACATCCGCTCCCACAGCTCCTTCTCCACCATGAACGACGACATTTCCTCTTTCTTGTGCAGCATCTAAGGGTTCTCTTCAGCATGCCTTTCCTGTCTTTCCCGATGCTTAGCAATTGTTTGGTGGTTTTGTCCTGTTTCGAGGCGAGCCTGGTGCGCGAGCTCGGTATCCACTGGAACACATCACGGGAACGTCAGGGCGGGGCAGGCTTTCAGTCCACACAGCTGAAGATGGGCGATCTTTTACTTTCTATTTCTTTTCTTGGAAAGACTCTTTTGACAGAGGGTGGTTTGATTTGGCTTGGGGATAGATTGTGTAGTACGGAAGCCTTTTGGTTTCATAATAAAGCAGTTGTCTCCTGAACGCGCCTGGACAAGCATTCCTTTCATGAGGCTTCATAAAGACGCTAATTTGCAGGATTTCGGCGGGTGCCGTCTCATACAAGGCAGCATTCAGGTCTGGAGATTACGTTGAGATGAAAGAAGCGAATTAGAAAGCGTGGCGTCGACGTAGGCTCCAGGGTGTTTGGTGTTGGTGTTCTCTTTGATTGGGGTGGGGCAGCTTTTGGAGGGGTCGATCTACATAGATCGGCCCGATCCTCGCGACACTCCCGGCCTGCGATATCAGCCTTCCTTCACAAACACAGCAAAAGCAAAAGCATCTTTGTGATCAAGCTTTTCGGTAATGACTGTGGTATTTTGATCGATGAAACTAAGGCCAAACATACTTGTACGTGGGTAACGGCTGACTGACTGAAGGAAAGGTTACCTAGGTACAATCTGGTGGGAAACAGAGATCCAACATTCCACCCAGCACACCAAACTTCAACAGAGACTGAGCAATACCATGTCCCATCCCACGTACATACTGCATCAGAGCAAACTCCGAGGCCCAACCCTTACAAGTTCATCTTGTGGCCTTGGCGGACGTGGTCACGAAGTTTGTCCATGCGGTCAAACTTCATGTGGCAACCTTCCACAACACACCTGAGAGTGGGAGCTCGGTGCGACCGCATGTGCCGGCGGCAGTCACCAACACGGCGGTATGCCTGCCGAGTTAGAGACAAGAAGTCAGTATATGTCTTAAATGCACTTCATACAGTCAAAGCTCACCTTGGTGCAACCATCAATGTTGCAATGAAAGCGCGGTTCGATCGTGCGGCGACGAACAGCGGCATGCGCACGTGACGGCGGTGTGATGATGTTTGGCTGAACAACAGCATTCAGAGCGGGAGCGGGAGCGATGGGCTGGTAGGCCTGGCCCAGTCCGGGTGTAGGGTAGGAAGGCTGCGTCAGCAATTCGAAAGGGTCGAGCTGCGGAAGCATCTGCGAGTAGAAGCCATTACCGACATAAGGGTCGATGAGATGATTATCGAACACAGGCCAGTCTATGAACGTGCTGGCTTCTCCAGGCAGACTAACCAGGGTGCTCTCAATGATAGGGTCGTATGGACCTAAAAAGGGTCCTTCATCAGGTGCAGCGGGGAAGTACCCCTGCATGTCGGGGGCCTCATCGATGATAGGTTTACTCGGTGCCCCTCCACGCCAGGATGAACCTGTCCCCTGGGCAGCCAGCATATCCAACGTGTCGTATGGAGCAGGAAGGATGGCTCCAGAGCGTATCAATGTTTGCCATAAATGTAGATGGTCTAGACATCCTTCATGTCTACACTGCGTTCAGAGTTTGCCAATTGATTATCTTAATACTGATGTAGACGGCCGAGCGTCTCAAAGTTTCACGTTGAATATAGAGGTTTGATGTATCTGGGAAGCCTACATTGCGCCAAAATCCCGAAAACCTTTTGCTCGAGCAGTCGACGTAGACTCCACGGTGTTACGTAATTCCCTTACAAAAGATGAACAAACATGGAGTATTTCGGGAATGATTATTGTATTGTATCATCGAAAACATTCATGCTCGAAACAGTGTGAAACCTTGAAGCACTACAGATAAGCTTGCGGCTTTAGTGTGCTTCCTTTAACTGCTCACATAAAGCCAGCCAATACCTCAAAACGCACACATAGCCCTTTCAGTGCAGCGAACGCGCATAAGTCTTTGCTCTGTGTTACGACCCCACTAGACATGTACAAGCACGACATCGACTTGGCACAGCGCGACAATCGTGTACCGTTGAGGGCTTCGCCTTCAGAGCCACTCGCAAAGACAATATCCGTCAACATATCCGCAGAAGCCACCCAGAACTGCCTGTTGGCCCTCCTAATCTCCGATCCACTCGTCCTCGGACAACGCCGCATGACTTGCTGACGCCAAACCCACTCGATTTGCCTCGGACTTCTTATTTTCTGCAGCCTTGTCGAGTGCAATCTGCTTGTTCGTCCTACGAGCTCGCTTGGGAATTCCACATGTCTTCTTGTGCGCTTTCATGCGGCTTTTGTCCATTGTTGTGTATCCGTTAGGACAATTTTCGCAATAATGCATAATCTTGTTTGTGTTCTTTCTCCATAGCTTCTAGTTCTCTTTCCTCTTCTTCTCCTTCTCTTCTTAAGTGTTCTTATCGTCAACTTCAAGAGCATCAAAAACTTTCGGAGAGCACACTTCGCGAAGCGCTAAGATGGAGCATAGACCGCGGTAGGGAATTGTGTTTTGCGGCCACAGAGAGAGCTCAGTCAATAAGCCAAAGGTTGCTCGTTTGAAGAACCAGAGTTTAGTCGTGAAGGTAGTCTCTAACAGCAGTATCAGTGCTCTCTGGAAGTTGGAGTCCAGAGAATCACTGTAAATCGTACTCGCGGCCAGACATGACGTTCCCTTAAGCACGTAACCTTCATCCACTAGGTCTGTGATGCAGTGTAGGATTGCAGCTCCATTAGAACAACCAGCAAAGTAACTCTCGTAATTCTTAAGCCGTGTAATCAAGCCAGTGTCAGCGGTCCCTAAACCACAGTAGACGTTAATAAACAGTTCTCCATCCTTCCCCATAAAGTAAAGATAAACAACCCAGGTAGAAGAAGCAATAATGTCGAGAGAAAGGGAACAGGCCAGCAGAGAATCCGGAGTAGGCAGTTAAGAACTTTGCAGAATCGCGAGTAAAGAATCTAGAAAGAGTACCGCAAAATAGGCAAAGGCCTCAGAGATAGATGCAGAATTGTAAAACATGTTCCGAGCGAGGTCAGTGGCGGATCGATCACAGGATAGGACTTCAAAAGCTTCGTCAGCAATTGCAGAGTAGGTTTGAGAAGCCATGATGCCGCTTGAGAAGGGTTGGAGAAATTGAGAGAAATGAGACGAGCTGAGAAGAAAGAACGAAGGATATGACGTGATGCTGCTCCGACATACCTTAAGCAAGAAGGCGCGACGGTTGTTGTTGACTTCAGCCAAGCATCTGGAATGGCAGGCACCACCCCCCACACATCGGCTCTGGGTATTGCGACATCGAAGGAGCATCTCAATATTGTGGATACAATACTCCAGCATCTTACAGTAATCGTCAGCAGAGAACACCGAGTGAGATACATGAGTTTACTTACCTTGCATCTTGCACGTCGTAGAGGAAGCATGGGTGTCATACCGCTGATGCGCAAAGCCTTCGACGACCGAGGGCTCGATGTCGATGTCCAGGATACATCTGGCCTCCGGATGATGCCACTGCCAACCCTGTTTGCGGTGGGTACGCAGAGGCGGTAGCGCTCTTGCCACATCGACAGGATGTCGATGTCAGTCGAACTTTTGGTCCTTCGAAGATGGGCTTGCGGCACCCGGCGGCGCAGGATAGCAATCCCGAGATGCTGCGCGTATTACTGGAACATGGCCGGGCTGATTGGGACGACGTGAGGGATAGCCGGACTTCGCTCCTGTTCGAGGGGCTCTCGGAAGGACACTGGGGTCTGGTATGAATGCTGTTGGACTTGACCAAGGTTTTCTTGTATGCCACCCGTCGAAGCTCGATTGTTGCGACAAAGCCGTATGGAGTGTGCGTCGATACCGTGGAAAGAGGGCTACTCGAATTAGCATTTGCTCAAGCCCAGAAAAAAGAACATCTGGCATCGAGCCGCTCGTAACGGCAGCCTCAGTTCAACAATGCTCTTACCTGAAGATGCTCCAACGCACGACCGTCAGACTCACCTCATGGTGCATGTCAATCGTAGAGACGCTCACGGCCGAGCACCGCTACACGTCGCGGCGCTATGCGAGAAGCTTGGTATCATAGTGCTCCTACTCCGCCGCAAGCACATCGATACTGACCTCACTATGAAGTGAGGTCGTAGCCGGCGCGATCGTTCTGCCGTGGAGAGCGTCGATGGCACCGAGTGGATTGATTGTTGGCGTAGGTATGAGGAAGAGTGTTGTTATATAGTAGACCTTCGACCATCCCAGGACGCACGGACTGCATCGCGCGATCAAGCACATGACGTGTACAAGTTCGTTCTCTCACCTTCAGACAAGAGCGTGGCGAGGGAATATCAACTTTATGCTGGGCGCAGCGAGGACCTTTGAAGGGATAGCCATGCGTCATGAGCTTCAGTCGTTGGAGATCACGATGATGGTGGCGGACCTGGAGGAACGCGTTCGGAAGACCAGAGCACTGTCGCCGGCACAATCTCAATCTATGTCGATGATTCGATAGAAGAGGACACCGATGCGACGTTGGAGGCGTGGACGTGCTTTGACGGTGAAGAACTGTTCGCGAGCGACGGCTTGGTGATGTGGAGGCGAGAGCTAGCTCTTGAATTTGCTCGGTACTCTCGCTTCCTCGAGGTAGCATGCGCTACCTGAGATTTAATTCGTTTGGTCGTGTTCTGGGCTTCGCAGCGGCAGCCGGTGCTGGGGGGTATCGCGAGGCTTCGTTGGGCTCATTTCGTTGTTTGCAGATAGACTGAGTTACTGTAGTCACTCATTATAGAATCAGAGGGTCTCATGAAAAGCCGCTCGTTCAGTTTCCTTTCTAAAGCAGGAAGCCGAGAGAATTGACTGACCGTTGAGACCCAACGCGCTCAATCACGTGTCAGTGTTTTGGGCGGGGACCGCGGGCGTTGGCGCGTCGGGTGCGCTAGCGGCAATGCCCTGCATGTGAACACCAGATCCTCGGGCGAGCATCATGGTTAACCATCGAC